TTAGGGTCAATTTCCACAACCTTTTAATTTTTCGCTCGCCCGCCGTTAATCCAGTTGGGGTTGGTCATGCTATTAAAGAATATTCCTCAGTGACCTCGCCCAAGGTCAGCGAACACCCCCTAACTTACACGTGTAACTTTTTTTAATTTACATGATTATTGCGCTCTGATTTATCCCCCATTATGCCCCACCCATTCTGCCTTCTAAAACTAGGTGCCCGTATGGGAGCGGAGCGCACTTCTCGCGCACTGTGGGGTCTCCACGATAGTTCCTGAACGAAGCTTGAATAATTTGCTTATCCCGCTCCTCCAAACCTCCCACAGTTTGGATATTAATCTTATCCGATACCTCTCCTGGCAGAGTTTTTGACCACTTTGCTTGAGCAGTTGAACAGGATGTCACAAAATTCTGATCGCTTCCAAACTTTGCCTTTTTCATACTTAAATATTTTCAAACAGTTTTTGCTTTGACGCCATGTAATTTCGTGACCCCTTATTCAACTGCACACGGTCATTGCCTTTTAATAATATCAGTCAATTAAATTAAAGGCAAAACAGACTTGTAGGGCCCTCTTAGTATCTATTCCCTCCGCTCAACTGCCTAACGTCTTTTTTGGTCGAACATTTAATAGCGGCGGAAGTGATCAAAGAATATTAAATTAAATAAGATTATATTTGTTTCAGTATACTAAATAGAATAATATTTCATCAAAATAAACTCCTGTTGCGCTGGATACGGATGCCAATTGAGGGAAATTCGACCTATTGGAGGAATTTAACGAAAAAAATGGAAAGTCGAGTTACTAAAAATGTAAAAATAGGTTATCTTTATACGTCAACGGCATAAAAAGACTTCTAAAGTCAGTCCTGCCAATTGAAATTTAAAATTAAATTGGAATAAATTAATAGGCAATGACTGTTTGCAGTTGAGTAAGATGTCGCGAAATTATGTGACGTCGATAAATTCTGCTAGTGTCATGATCTTGACCTCGTTCAAATTTCTTCCGGTAAAACAATATTTCAGTTAGTGTTGTGTCTGTTGCGGTTCTAAATTACGCATTTGCAGAAACTGGACCATATAAAGTATCTTACCGTATGCTCAATATTTAAAATAGCTACTTAATTGGTGGCCTTTTCGCGGTCATTCATTACTTATTTAAATATGCCTTGAAATTGCGCGTGGCTTAAAACAAAGGATTGCTCGTAGGTTTTATTACTTTTATGTTAGATTACGCAAATTTACAGTCGAATTTTAACACAGGAGAATCTTACGTTTTTCCCAAAAATTCTGTGGTATCCACATCTTGCCTCACCTAATTAACGCGGCCTGAAAAACCAATTTCCTAGTTGACTCCGGTTGTTTTCTTTGAATTTTATTGTTTAGCTTAATTTACTCTACAGGAGCAATACGCACAAATGTGAAGATTTAGTCTAGGGTAGTCTCGAACATGGTTACAATTTATACATCTATTCGTGAATAAAATAACGTCGAAATAAATTCTACAGAAGACAGAGACCCTTTTAGCGCATTATTCAAACAAATGCATAACTTTTCATGCGTCTCGGATTGGTCATTTGGGTCTCGCTCTCTACATTTCACGGAATACCTCACCTACATAGCATGGCCGACATAGCAGAAATACATTTGAGAGCTAGAAAAAGAAGATGCGAACACCGGAGCAGGAGTTTTATTGTTCCGACGTTTCGGATTCCGTCGGGAATCCTTAATCATCGGTAATGGTACGATAGTCTGAGTCGTGCTCAGATAGTGGTCGCGCATAAGGAGAAGGGTGACCCTTTCTTAGGAAGGTGATTACTCAAGGCTGACCCCAAATTATATTGGTGCCAAGATGTCACTGTGGCAGGCATTTTGTAGCGTTTTGAACCGACCCACTTGTGGTTTCCAACTCCGCCTCTAGCTTTCCTCACACCTTTCGGAATTTTTTCTGTTTTCTACTTGCTTGATTTAGAGCCCTTATTTTCTCACCTTCCGATGTAATTGTTCCACAGAACTAGACT